TAGTAGTAGTAGTAGTAGTAGTAGTAGTAGTAGTAGTAGTAGTAGTATGGAGTGAAGTTGGAAACTTGGAAGGAAAAAAGAGAAAAACAAATGAGGAAGAAGTAGAAGCCTTGCTTTACTTATTTGTAAAATGGTGGTAGGGGAAAGGGTTGGACTGGATGACCTACAAGGTCTCTTCTGTCTTTAAATCTATAGTGATGACAGAGATAGAATTGGGAGAGAGACAAATTGTAATACAGACTTTCAGGAGTATAGGAACTTGGATCATTTCTGCCTGGTCCCATCATCTGGGATGTTCTGAAAGGGAAGGAGGTTTAAGGGTACCATGGAACTAGAATTTGCCCGTTTAGTTTCTGGACACTACTGGACACACCATTTTCACATTGCTATTCTCCTCTTGTAGCCCCTTGCCAAGTGCCCAGGGCTCTTCAGTCCTGTATTCTAGAATATGCAATTTTTTTATTGTTGTTTTTAGAAACTGTCTTTGAGTTGTCAATTTAAATCAAACTGCAATCACCTTTTATGTTGTTTTGGTTAAGGCATAGCACTTGGTTATTATAGGAAGAGGGCAAGGTTCAAATGAAAATGGTTCTAATTTCAAGTCACCTTACTGAGAATGCCAGGTGAAGTGACAAACAGGACAGAAGCAGTAAGTCTAGGAAATTGGAGAGGAAAGCTAAGGAGAAAAGGTACTGGTAGGTAGAGATATTTCAGGGTGGCACCTTTTGATAATGGAGAAGGATGATCAAGGGAGATAGGAATAAGATGGGGCTTTAATAGTCAATCTCATTTAATAATGAACAACCAATTTCCTTCTCAGTGTGCATTCATCAACACTCCTCCTCTAACTCCAAGGAATATTAATATCTTCACGATAAGGATGGAGGAAGCTGAGCTATAACTGACATTGAGTGTCACAGGATTAAAATGTATGAATGAAAACTATGTGATACAGTTAAAAGGGAGGTAGATTTAGAAGACCTAGGGGAAGACCAGCTGTGTGACCTTCAATAAAAAAAACCTAACCTTTCCAAAGCTGTTTCCTCATCTGTAAATGGAGATAATGCATATACTACTCTATCTCAGAGAGTTGTTAAAAGAAAAGCATTTTTAAACCTCAGAGTGCTACAGAAATGTGAGTGATGAGGACAAGGTGGGTTATTTGCTCTTGTAACCGAATAAATAATCAAAGGAGGAATTGCCACCTTTCCAGACCTAGTCAATTGTGAAATGTTCTTAACAGCTAATTAAATCCAGCCATTCTATAATGCATGTAAATATTAGAGTATCATGTTTTCCTTTACAACAAAGATTTCTAAGACACCCCACAATTTATGTTAAATTAGCCTGAAACCTATTGAGTTCAGCAAAAGGAAAGAAGAGAAGACAGAAAACTTGAGAGAGAAAAATATCCTTGAAGGGGAAAAGGGAAAGATTCATTACCATCTTGACTGTTTTCTTAAAATATTTATATAACACTTACATGCATGGAGTTCTACACTAGGTGTTGTATAAAAGTTGGGCAGAGATGTCTCACAGTTGCATAATTAAACTATAACAGAGAATCTAGGAAGCAAGTCACATCCACAAGGTGTGACCTACTACAAAGTGGGAAAGGCTCTCCCTAAGTAGATAATCTATTTTATGGGAAATATTCCAGGATTATGCCTCAGGAAGATTGAAAAGAATGACCATTCACCACCACGTGTAACATACAAAGTTTCCACTCAACTCTGTAATCCTTTGAGATATATGCATATATATGGATATATACACAATATATATACATACACATGTGTATACACATACATGTACATATATAGTACACACATACAGGTATACATACATACACATTTATATGCACACAAAGATACATACATACACATGTGTGTGTGTGTGTATATATATATATATATATATATGGTGCATATGTATGTATATATGTATGAATAGAGTACTAGGCCTGGAAGTCAGGAAGACCTGAATTCAAATCTGGCCTCAGACACTTACCTGCTGTGTTACCCTGGACAAGTCACTTAACCCTGTTGGCTTCAGTTCCTCATCTGTAAAATGAACTGGAAAAGGAAATGGCAAACCATCCCAGGATCTTTGCCAAGAAAACCACAAATGGGGTTATGAAGAGTTTGACACAACTGAAAAAACTGAACAATAGATAGCACAGTTGATAGAGCACCAGGCCTAGAGTTAGGAAGACCTGAGTTCAAATTTGGCCTCACACACTAACTAGCTGTGTGACCCTGGGCAAGTTCACTTCGATTTGGCTCAGTTTCCTCATCTGTACAAGGGGGATAGTTAAAAGCACCTACCTCCTAGGGTTGTTGTGAGAATCAAATGAAATAATAATTGTAAAACACTTAGCCCAGTGCCTGGCACATAATAAGTGCTATGTAAATGTTAGATATTATCATAAATTATCATTATTATTTTTTAATCAGGCCAGTAATTCATGGGTATAGGGAGCTTCCAATGAGTAACTTCTGTGTACCCAGATCAATACCTTCTCTGCAACTTATAGTTTTATTTAATTGCTTGAGGCACTGAGAGGTTAAGGTCCAAGGTCACACAGCCAGTATGTGTCAGAGGTGAGACTTGAACCAAGTATTCATGACTCCACCATCAACTCTCAAATCACCATGTTGCCTTTGGCTAATTTTGGCTGTACAAATAAAACTTGAGCCACCATAGAGTGTTTTCTCTGTCAACAAACCAGATAGGAAATGTAAATTAAAAGAAAGTACTTAATTAGGACAGAATAGCAGAGTAAATAGTAAGGGGAAATCAAGAGGCAAAATTATTCTGCATTCTGTCACCTCACTCCCACCCCAATCAATACATGAAGGTGTGGTTGAGGAAATGCTTGTCAGATAACTTACTCTCCTAGACAATAAAGGTCTGCATTGTGCCTGAAACACCTTTCATAGCTCCATCTCATAGAAACTAGCAATGCCGTGTTGATCTACTCTGTCTCTGCAATGGTATTCCTTTGAAGACATCATTTTTTCCCCTCTCCCAAGATGCTATTTATATCTGTCATTGACTGTTGTGGCAGCTTAATCTATGACTGTAATCTGCTGCTATGACTTGTTCTTCCTTAAAGGTGGTATTACTGATCTTTCATGAGATTGCTTTGGTCAATACACCTGAAAGCTAATCAGTATTTTCATCTCTTTTGTTATTCAGGTATCTCCCTACCCACCTGGGTCAGCTTACTCTGCCTCAGTAAAAAGTCTCCATACTACCTTCTAGGTTGGGTTGTGAAGAGTGAATTCTTTTCTTTTCTTTTCTTTTTTCTTTTTTATTTAAGTGAATGTTGCAAATTTTATTTTTTATTTTAAATTTTTTTCTCTTAATAGTATTTAAATTTTTTTCAATTACATGTAAAGATAGTTTTCAACATTCATTTTTGTACGACTTTGAATTCCAAATTTTTCTCCCTCTCTTCCTCCCCTCCCCTCTTCCCAAGACATGAAGCAATCTGATAAAGGCTATACATGTACAATCATGTTAAACATATTTCCATGTTGGTCATGTTGTGAAAGAAATTCAGAACAAAAGGGAAAAACCATAAGAAAGAAAAAACAAAAAATGTGAAAATAGTCTGCTTCAATCTGCATCAGACTCCATAGTTCTTTCTCTGGATGTAGATAGCATTTTTTCATCATAAGTCTTCTGGAATTGTCTTGGATCATTGTATTTCAGAGAAGAGCTAAGTCTATCATAGTTGATCATCACACAATGTTGCTGTTACTGTGTACAGTGTTCTGATTCTGCTTACTTCACTCAGCATCAGTTCATGTAAGTCTTTCCAGGTTTTTCTGAAATTTGCATGCTCATCATTTCTTATATCACAATAGTATTCCATTACATTCACATACCATAACTTGTTCGCCATTCCTCAGTTGATGGGCATCCTCTCAATTTCCAATTCTTTGCCACCACAAAAAGAGCTGCTATAAATATTTTTGTACATGGAGGTCCTTTCTCCTTGTTTATTATTTCTTTGGGATATAGACCTAGTGTTGCTGAAACAAAGAGTATGCACAGTTTTATAGCCCTTTGGGCATAGTTCCAAATTCCTCTCCAGAATGGTTGGATCAGTTCACAACTCCACCAACAATGCATTACTGTCCCAATTTTCTCACATCTTCTCCAACATTTAAGTGAATTTCTTTCAACTTCTGTCATGCCTCTGGCAGCTAATGACCAAGTTATGCAAGTTAACTTGCATATACCTTAATGAGGGGAAGGGTGGGTTGACCTCTGTGGATATATTCGCTATCTGCTCATGTAGTAGGAATGCACAGATCCATTTCTTCCACATAATCTGTCTAGTGCCATCTCTGAGGCACTAGAGTGCCTTCAAAATTGAACTTTGTTGTAGTCACCATTAAACTGGAGGGTTCAAGGCTTACTTGATGCTCTCTGCCATTATCATCTTCTGTCTTTTTATAGGCTTTCACACAGGTAGCATGAATTGTCAGGATCTTTAAATATTTAGTTCCAGATTTATGCCTGTACAAGGCATAGACATATGCACCTATGCCTTACTTTGCCAGTACCTTGAAATAGCTAGATTTGGTCCCAATCAGTGCTGAAATTCTGTAAATACTTTCTGGGTCTGGACATATCAGAGTCATAGTTTCCACTTTACCAATGACACCCAGGACTCGCCTAAGGATCTCTAGAAACATTATGACATAACTCAAATACAGGTAGTCCTCACTCAGCTCACTGAGATCTAGGAGCATCTATTGTCCTAGTGTAGGCAATAGACATATTTACTTTAAAGTGTCCATTATAAAACAACTGGCCTAAAATTGTCATTTGGCATCTACCAGCTAACACTGCAGGATATAGATGTATTTAGTAGAAACATTT